CATCTAGCCCAGAAGCAACAAAGCCCACATGGAAGCAGCACACCAACATGTGTGATCATGAAGGGCCAAAGGGACCAGGCTTCAAACACCAAAGGCGGGGAGAAAAATCATATCCTCATAAATATATTCTATCATTCTGTTGTAGACATTTACTTTCCATTGAGCACTTGGGATCAGCTCCTCTTTTTTTCCCTCCAGGTTCCCTCCACAACTCTCATAGCCCCTTGACAGATTATACATCTTTCATTATATTCAAATCTCACACTGACCGCTGTCTTCCTTCCCGTCTAGTTTCTGTTACTCTTCTCCCTGTATTGGGGGTGTGTGGTTATGTGCCATTCATTGCAATCAGTGCTCCCCTCCCTTCCACCTCTCCCTCCCTTCACTGTACCATTTTGGTATCTCTTTTCCCATACAGCTTCTTGGGTTCCATGTTTTGTGAGTTTTATCTCTTGCACGCTCCCGTCTAGTCTAGATTTGTAGGCAGCCCTGAATTCATGATAGCTGGAGGTAAGGAGGCCTCAAGAGGTCAGATGTATATTGTGTGACCCATTGGTGCTCTACTGCACCCTGATTCATTCATCCCCTCCCTGAGATTCCACTGTGGGGTTATGTTCCCTTGTGCATAGATGGGCTTTGGGTCTCCACTCCTACCCTTCTCCATTCTCACCAATGCACTTTTATTTGTTTGTTTACTGTTTGTTATGAGTCTTCTGAGGGCCCTTGTCCTGTGCTCCTGGTTTCTTTACTCACATGATTATCTGTACTAAGTTAATTTTGTTTGTGAATCTTCTTATTTTATTTATTGATGTATTTTAATGCTTACTAAATCTTTATGACGTTTTTCTTTTTATTTTAAGGAGAAGTATTTATTTACTTTGAGGTTACCTTGTGTTCTATTATCTTACTTGCAAATTTAATCTGTCTGCTCTCTCTTGCAGTTAACTAACCTTCCTATCCTCTTAGATCTATAATTATATTATTTAATCTCCCCCCCCCCACCTTTTTAACTTTGTAATAGCATTCTGTTTAATTTGGTCTCTCGTGTCTTTGTTATAAAGGTTCTGTGTAGTAATACTACCTAATCAGCCATCTTAACAGAAGTCTTGAAAATTTAAGAAAATTAAAACTGCGTAGGTAAGAAAAAGGCTAGGAAAGTTAACCTGAAGTATTTTTTCCCATCACAACAATGCACGTGCTCATTTTTTCAAAGGTATCAAGGGCTGTCCCACAGCAATTTCCTTGTGAAACCTTACCCTGTCAATCTTACTGTCCAGTCAGTTCTTGCTCCATCACTTCTTCGTGTTCTCCAAACTGAAGGACGGCTGAAAAGAGCACAATTTGTCTCCCCAGAGGATGCCAAAATGATGTGATGGCCTAGCACAAATCCAATAATGCACAATACTTTGGAGAAGTGTTAAAGAGGTGAATGCACCATTTTCATATGTGTATACACCTAAATGGGATACATGTTGACAACAATAACTTCACATGCTGATAGTTTTGTTTAATAAAATGTTCTATCCTATTGTCACAATACCTTTTTATATACCCCAATTTTTTTTCAGATCCTCTTTTTCTATTATCCTCTTATTCATATGTCTTTTGGGTCCTCTGGAGTTACATTTTTGGACTTCTTTCTTCTAATTCTACATACTCCAGGAGAATTACATATAATCTAATGACTACAAGTGAACCCAAGACTGGGAACTTGAACCTATTTACAACAATCCCATCCTCTGCATTTTTCACCCTCATCCTTCAGACACACCTGATTGTTTTTCCTCCAATAGATGAGGCAATCCTTACTTCCATTTGCCTGTACTATCTTTAAAAGCCATTCACTTCACATTATCCTCCCTTTATTGTTTGTTGTTTTTTCCAACTCCTGGCTTTACTCTTCTCCATCCATCTCAAAAGAATTGCTTCCATTAAGGTCCCAATGTGCCCTGTACAGCCTTCTATGTACTTGCATGAGTTCTATAGCTCTTCTAGAATGAGAATATAAGGCTGGAAAAGAAAGGGGGAAATGTTGTCAATCTATAAATAAAGGGGGCACTTTTGAATTTAAAAAGATATCCCAAGAATAATCCAGTCCTGCAGTGTGGAGTTCCTCAATACAGTACACACTGTTCTTCAAGATATATTCCTTTGATCACTCAATTAAAAACAGAACATATTCTATACCAAATGTTGTAAAAGATTAAAAATGATTCTGTATTCCATTATCCCCATTGGTAAAGACATCACTCAGTCTATGTAGTAAATGATCAAGAATGGGGAGGGGGTAGATTTATGCAGACTACACTGCATAAAGTCAAGTTCCTAAGCTAAAAAAGAATGAATAAAAATACTTTAATAACTGAATAACTGAATTTCCAAACCCATAGATTTAAGCTTACGTCACAAAATTGATAAGATTTGAGGTGCCAGGAGATTCTGTTTGGGACTTGTCCCCACAAGATAGTTTTGTCTCTAAGTTTTGACCCAGGAGTTAGATAATATTCTCTGCCATTACTATGACGCAAAGGGAACAAAAGGTAGGTGCGGCACTTACTCTCTTTTTGTCTCTAATGAGGCTCTTGGGGATTCTGGCCCCAACAGCCATAGAGTCTCCTGTAAATACCTCTCTGTGCTTCCCTCAGACATTTTTCATGCACATAGTACTAAGACCATGAATGACCGCTCCTCACTTACTCTTGTATTTCCAAGACTTTCCAATCTTTACAATAAAGAGAAGCATTGGACAGTTATGAAGAGGTGATGAATGCATAACACCAACCTTAAAAGGTAGTATTTCAGCAAAGGACAGATTGGTTATTGCTTTTGTTTATTTGATATTTTATAAGACTAGAAATTCTTTTAGGAATACCCTTGAATACATTTTCAACACCAAGTGATCAAGAGGAGTCCTAAATCAAAGAATCTGTGAAGTAATCCCAGCGATATTCAGATGCTTCTCTTTTCTTTAGGAGCTAAACAACGGTGCGGTTGAGATCTGAAAAAATATAAGGACCGACACATATAGTCAGAGTTGACTGGTGTGTATTGCTACCTGTTTGTCAATTGTAAATATACCTCACAAGAGCAGGAGTTCAATATGAGTTGAATCTGGACTGAGTTTAGGAAATTAAGAGTATAGGTGAAGGGGACACATCTTCTCTTAGCAAATCAATGAACTGATTTGTAAACATGTCTTAAACTGGCATTTGATTGGCTACCTTTTATCCATCCATATCTAGGTCTCTGAATTTGCTGTTGTGCATGAACCTGATTCCGTGGCTATGAGTGAGGCAAATCAGTCGAGTGTCTCCGAGTTCCTCCTCCTGGGGCTCTCCAGGCATCCTCAGCAACAGCAGCAGTTCCTCTTTGTGCTCTTCCTGAGCATGTACCTGGCCACAGTCCTAGGCAACCTGCTAATCATTCTGGCCATCAGCAAAGACTCCCACCTGCACACCCCCATGTACTTCTTCCTCAGCAACCTGTCCTTCGTAGACATCTGCTTCTCCTCCACCATAGTCCCCAATATGCTGACCAACACACTCAGCAGTGATATCATGTCTTTCCTGGAGTGTCTCACACAGCTGTATTTTCTTATTGCCCTTGCCGACATGGACAATTTCCTCCTGGCTGTAATGGCCTATGACCGCTTTGTTGCTGTGTGCCACCCCTTGCACTACACCACAAAGATGACCCCTCAGCTCTGCATCCTGCTGGTCACTGGCTCTTGGGTCATTGCCATTCTGAATGCTCTGTTGCATACCCTGCTAATGGCACGACTCTCATTCTGTGCAGACAACACTATACCTCACTTCTTCTGTGATATGACAGCTCTCTTAAAACTGTCCTGCTCTGACACACACCTCAATGAGATGATGAGTCTTACTGAGGGGGGTCTGATAATAACAATTCCATTTGTTTGCATCCTAGCTTCCTACATTTGCATCACCTCTGCTGTCCTGAGAGTCCCATCCACAAAGGGAAAGTGGAAAGCCTTCTCCACCTGTGGTTCCCACCTGGCTACAGTGTCCCTCTTCTATGGCACCATCATTGCTGTGTATTTCAACCCTTCATCCTCCCACTCCACCGACAAAGACACGGCAGCTACTGTGTTGTACACGGTGGTGACACCCATGCTAAACCCTTTCATCTACAGCCTGAGAAACAAGGACATTAAAGGGGCCCTAACAAAAATTATTTCTATGAATTGTTATGTTAAACATTAAATCTTTTTCACTGGTTTCTAGAAGGTAGCAGTTTTTCGTCTATGTATTTGTCTTGAGATATTGAAACTGCAGATTTATAAAATTTTTATTGTGACTTGAGTGAAAGTTGTAGGGCAGATTAGCCTTCCAGTCAACAGCACACACCCGATTTGCATCACAGAATTGATTGCAATTCCTGCAATGCAACATCACTTATTCTTCTTTCCTGCTTCTTGTTTCTACTCCTCCTTCTTTCCTAACCTTTCTGATCTTTATTTTGATCATACCACGGTCACTCTGTCTGAAATTCAGGTTCTATGAATTTCTCAGTGTACAATACAGAAGGGAGTAGTTCATTTAGGACTTCAGGAAGTCCTAATCTTCCAGGTGTTTGAGCTAATTATTCTTACCATTTTATCTGAGTTTTATGTATCATACAGCATTACAACAGAAATACAGGTAATATAAACAAGAAATCAGATAATGTAAACAAGAAAAAAAATAGCTTCCTCAATTCCAGGCACAGGCATGTCCATTTCACCTTTTGTCCATCATTATGCTCAGTTATTTGAACACAGATCCTTGCTTACATCCTAGATTTCCACTCTCATTTATAGCAAACCTTCTCCTAATGGCCATACAATATCTATTGTTTTTATTTTACAGAACTTATATACAGTATTTCTATCTGGTTCCTTGAGCAAAATTTACTCAGTATGCATTTTGTTTCTGCATTAATACATAATAGAAATTTACTGTTTAATGTGTGATTTCAAACTTATTTTGAAATACTTTAGGAAATTTAAGAAAATCAAGAAATATTTAACACTGGCTAAAATAACCACTGAACGGGAAATTCTGGATTTTAAGAACGAATGAGGACAATAGGGCAGTTTTCCTTAATTTCTTCTTTCAGAAAGATGGATAAGAGGACATCTTGTGTGAAATCTGGTAAAATTCAGATTCCAAGGTTGTTTCTGAGACAAGGATATTATTTTTTATTACACTTGTCTGGTTTGTATATTAAGGAACATGTGAATGTTTTCAATATTCAATCTATAGATTTCCTAAGTCTTCAAACTCGGTCAGAAGGGGCCTGTTCCTAGAAGGCAGCTTTGATGGAATGATCACTAGCCTTTGTTTTGTGTGTATGTGGATAAAGGTGGGGCCAAGAATAGGGGGTTGTATTTTCAAATATCTCCTTTACTTAGAAACTATAAAATGTTTTATTTCAGGCATATCCTATGTTGCTACCTTTACAGAAAGTCATTGACATCACTAGGTTTTGAAACATATTAACATGTCTTTGTTTCTAGTATTTCTATGTAGGCTTTAAAATCTCTATATGTTTATTACTATTCTTTTTGTTCCTAACTTGATTTACACTTTATTGATTGTTTTGCTATAGGCTTGTACCATCTGTTTTTTATGACTTGGTTCTTGGATTCAATCAATTTCAGTTATTGTCTACTTTTAATTTTTTATGTTATCCAAGCATCATGGGTCTTTTCCCCATAAAAATCTAACTTATGCATCCTTTTTATCATTAATTCATGAACCACATCCTAAAATATTCTTAGAAATACATACTTGAATATCAGTTGTTGTCAAGTTAAGTCTAGGAGAACAGGCACACAGGGGTTCTGAGGTAATCTCTTTATGGCAGCAGATGGCCACACCTTCCCCCCAAGAGCAGCTGGTGGCTTCCAACTGTTGACCTTTCGGTTAACCTGTCAGTGCTTAGCTACTGTGTCACAAGGGCTGCACTAATACAATCATGTATTGTTCATTTCCTATGATTTATTTATACGTTAATAAATAATATGTTAATAAGCAGAATTGTTAATATATTTTTATAGGTATTCTTATGTATTTTATAAGAATTAATTCCTTTTTCAAAAAACGGAAGTTTGGGATGCTACTTAATACTGCAAGAAATATTACCCAATTACACAAGAGGAAACTAAAAGTAAATAGAGGAAAGAACTAGGAGACAAATGGGCATTTTTGAAGGTCTAAATATAGGCATGTACATATGTAAATATATTTATATATAATGATAGGGAAATAGATATATGTACATATATGTCAAGTATCAAGGTAGCAGATGAATATTGGGCCTCTACTCAAGTACTCTCTCAATGCAAGAACACTTTGTCCTAATAACCTGGCATTCTGTAATGCTCAGCTTCCAGACAGGATCACTGAAGACAAAATGGGTGCAGAAGCAAATGTGGTGAAGAAAGTTGATGGTGCCCGGCTATCAAAAGAGATAGCGTCTGGGTGCTTAGCGCAAGTAGATAAAAAAGTTACCATCTAGCTGAGAAACAAAGCCCACATGGAAGAAGCACACCAGCCTGTGTGATCATGAGGTATTGATGGGATCAGCTATCAGACATCAAAGACCCAAAACAAAAAAATCATATCAATGTGAATGAGGGAGAGTGTGGAGACCCAAAGCCCACCTGTCAACAATTAGACATCGCCTTACAGAGGGCCACAAGAAAGGGTCAAATCAGCCAGGGTGCACTATAGCAACAATAAAACATACAACATTCCTCTAGTTCTTTAATGCTTCCATCCTCCCAACCCCCACTATCATGACCCCAATTCTACCTTACAAATCTGCCTAGACCAGAGCATGTACACGGTTACAGATAAGAGCTGGAAACACAGGGGATCCAGGATAGATTAACCCCTCAGGAACAATAAGGAGATTATTGATACCTTTATGCCAGGAAGGTAAGGGGAAAGTTGGGGGGAGAAAGAGGGAACTGATCACTATGATCTACATGTAAACTCCTCCAAGCGAGATATATAACACAAAGGTGGGTGAAGGGAGACATCTGTCAATGTAAGACATGAAAAAATAATAGCAATTTATAATTTACCAAGGGTTCATGAGGGAGAGAGGGTGGGGGAGGGAGGGGAAAAAACTGAGGAGCTGATACCAAGGGCTCAAGTAGAAAGTAAATGTTTTGAAAATGATGATGGCAACAAATGTACAAATGTGACTGACACAATGGACAGATGTATGGATTGTGATAAGAGCTGTAAAATGATTTAAAAAATAAAAATAATTAAAACAAACATTGTTTCCTGAAGAAGAAAAAAAAGACCCCACACACTATTTTATCTGATAGCCAGGCACCATCTAATTTCTTCACCACATTTTGCCATAGCTCCCATATTTTCTGCATGCCCTTCCTAAGGGCAAGTACTGAGCAGGAACGTGATGTAAGAACTGATTGTTCTTAAATTGGGGCTAGTATTCAGTGCAAGCCCAAAATCCATTCCCATATCTCTTTCTTGTTTGTTTTTATCTGCCTTTAGCTCCCTTTCAAAACATCCTTGTTAATTTTTGGTAGGGAATCTTATCCATCAT